GGCTGCGCCGCGCGCGCGGGGCGGCTGCGCTGCACCTGCGGAGCAGAGCAGAGCGTGGCCGGGTGAAGCGAGCCGCCCGCGGGTAACCGGGCTGTGAACACACCAAAGCGCCCTGCGCTCTGCAGGGCACAACACCCCGGGGGCTGCGGGCCGTGGGGAGGCAGGGCCGCCCCGCTCCCAGGAGCCGAATCCTCAAGACCCGCGGTGACTTCCCCTAGAGCACAGTCACTTATTTAATGTTTCTGAATATCTGCCCTAATAGTGGACCCCGTGAGGAAACACACACCGAATTAACCAAACCGCCGCAGGACTTCACTTACTCTATCGCTTTCTGAAGGCCAGACTGTTATCGATAAGAAACGCAGCGCAACAGCGGGCAGTAAGCAAACAGCAACTGATAAAATCATGGTCAGCCAAAGGTAGGGCTGCCTCAGAGCGTTGGGCGCAGTTCCTAAGAACAGGAGCAGAGAACAGTTTAGGAGTTTACACAAGATAGGGTCAAGTAAACCAGTTATAAAACACAGATAGCGCCCTAAACCCCACATCTGTTTCCCCCAGGACCTCGCGCGCCCGTTCGCTGGCATTTGGCTCTGTTTTGCTTTGGGCTTTGACCTGCCAGGGCCAGGTAGGGTATGTGCTTCACATGTCACCAAGTTACTCTGAGATGATCAGACTCCCTTTATTTCAGGCTGTCCCACCAATTTTAACTCGATTTTCATTCGCAAGCTCCCACTGCTGTGCCAAGTCCCAGCTCACTTTCATTAAAAGAAAAGGTTTACTCCAGTAAAGCATCCTGGCCCCAAACATCAACCCCATCCTTCCTTTAAAGTGAGTTCGTGTTCACCACCATCCACTGTCAAAGGGAGCAGTTCATGCCATGACCTTTTGGCAGCAGTTGTGCTCCAAGCTGTCTGAGACAGGAAGATGTGCCAAAAATAATGACTGACCTGTGAATTGGAAGGCAGAAGGAAAGAGAATATGGATTCCAGCGCTGTGAAAGTCAAACGTGATACCAAAGTAAAGGGCAATACTCCCAAACACCGAGAAAGCGTTAATGAAAGTCCAGTAAGATGTATCCAAACCAATCTGAAAGTTAAAAAAGAGGAAAAAAATGCTCTGAAGAAATAATTTAATTGATCCAAAACATATGGCAATTACTCTGCACACTGCCAACTTTTTGGTCAAGTCTTCTCTCACACAAGTACCCCTCCGTCTGAAAAAGAAAGCTTTGAAAGAGAAAAGAGAAGGCAAAGACTCTGCCTTTCCATGCTTTTGTGCATACTGATACATTTGCAGCAGAAGCATTCAGAAGCATGACCAGAGGTGTTTTCAGAGCAGAGATCACGAAAACAAGCTTACTTGCCTGAAAATTGACGACGAATATAAGAGAAGACGCTGTTGTGACAGCAAATGACTGATAATCTGAAGGTGCTTCTCCATCTTGTCCCATGCTTTTAAGATAGGCTCCATACGGTATGAAGAAGATTATCAGTGAAGTTATAATTCCGTGTATCAAACTCACAAAGAATTTCCTGTAGTTAAAAAGCAAGTCTTTCTGCCCCAAAACGTAGAGCCGAGGGAAGCGAAGGCTCAGTCTGTCGCTTACATCCTGAGCAGGAGGAACACAAGGAGGTGCCATCAGGACCCAGGCCACGGGTCACGGCTGCCCCGCGGCACCGCTATGGGTCACGGCTGCCCCGCGGCACCGCTGGGCCCTGCAGCCCGGCGGGGCTCCCAGGACGACACAACTCGCCGGTTCTCAGCGCGGCCTGGAAGCTGCAGGGCCCCAGGGCCGCGGCTCCGTCCCCTTCCCGGTAGCACTGGGGCTGCCCGCGTTACCCTGCGGAAGATCCTGCTCCCAGGCAGAGCCAAGGCCACCGAACGTGGCTCTCGCGGCCGCTGCGTGAGCTGCTCCCACGGTTTCTGGGTTTTTAACTCGCTATCTGAGGACAAGGACATCGCGGCCGTGTTCTCCTTCCCCTTTCCTTGCATTTAGGTCCTCCCCGTGCACCGTGAGCACAATGCTCGTGCTGGCACTGCACACCCGCGCTGGAGTCTCCAACGCACGCCCAGGGACAGCTTGATCCACTGCTGGATTTGCTGCAGCTTTAATCCCACAAGCAAGCAGAAACATTGATCACCCCATCAGCTGGCAAGCCCGTTTGGAAAACCGAGCAGTGAAGGCCCCAGCACGTGTCCCACCGAACGAAACCCAGCGCGGCGCCCCAGGACGCACCGGCACCCCCGAGGCACCCACGGCTGTCACTGCCTGCACGGTCACACGGGGCGAGCGGGCAGCGTGTCCCCTGCCACCAGGGCCAGCCCTGCCCTTCCCAGGAGCCTCCACACCACACGGCAGGCGCCTGCCAGGATTCCTAACACACAGTGGTAGCACTGACCACCTCTGACTGCTTCACTCGGGGGATTTCAGCAGTGCCCTGCTTGCTGTCTTTTGTGACCATACATGCTGAAGACGCAAGAGGAATACTTTTAAAAGAAAATTAAAAAAGCAAAGCCAAAGGAAGCCTTGTATGTGAAACAAGGCAAGCAGCTGGGCTGCAGCGTAACACTGGATGCCCTGCGTTCACCCCGAGAGCGCGGCACGTACCTGGTCCAGCAAGCCCACGAGCAGCACGGGGAGGCTCGTGTACAGCACGTTGTACAGCGTGATGAACCAGTCCTCGTAGGCTGTCTGCAAGAAAGGGAAACTCCACTGCTCGCTATTGCTTTTTGATTACACTGTTTCCTTCTAACTCCTGAGAATATCCACACTCTAGAACCGCATTAAATTACCCGTCTCAGTGCTTCCCCAAAAGGCAAGCAGCACCAAGGCCCAAGTTCTGGGAAAGCCATTTCTGATCTGCACCAAACTGCTTCACTCCCCACAAGACCCCTAACTGGTTTAGCAGTTATTACCTAGTCTCTGGCACAAGTTCCTGGCTTTTAAGTCTGTTCACGTCAACTTCAGGCTCCCATCACTCCCCAGGTTAAACTTTTGCTATTCTGCACTGACCAAAAGGAAGATCTGCCCGTTGGTATCAAACATGGGTATGTCTCTTACCTGGGCAGAAAAGCCATTAAAAAACGAGTACCAGATGTGGGCTAGCGTAAAGGCGAAGTTTTTGTAGAAGAAGAATCTGAGGAACTTGCACATCCGTATGTAGGACCAGCGGCCGTGGACCAGCAGCAGCCTCTGCAGGTGGCGGAACTGGCCCAGCGCGTAGTCGCTGGACATGACGGCCTGCGTGCCCTCCTGGCCGCTGATGCCCACGCCGACGTGCGCAGCTGGCAGGGAACACACAGGGCAATGAGCGGGGACACACGAGGGACAAGGGAGCCAGCGGAGCCCTTGGCTGAACACTCACTGCATGGGAATGGACGTGGGAGACGAGGGAAAGGAGAGAAAGGGCAATGGGACTGACAGCACTAAGGGACGAGACAAGACTGCACCCCCGCAACGAGCTGACCAGGCAGCTCACGGATAGACATTCCCTGTCAATGGATGGTTTTCCAAGGAGCGTTTCCAGAGGCACCAGCTGCAGCACAGCATGGAGAATGCCTCTGAGCACAGGACGGCAAAGCTCCTGTTCTGCCTTTTATTCCATTACGCTTTGGTAACCCACAACACAGCAAGGGATGCCCCATGTCCCTTCTCGGGGAATGTCTACAGAGAAAGCTAGAATGTCAGCATTTCAGTAAAAACAGAGGGTTTCCTCAGAAAGGGAAAGCACACACACCCGCAGAACACACACAGTAAAGCTAACACGGGTAGGGAGGTAAATTCCAGTTTCTCCTTAACACCTTAATAGCAGCAAGACTGCAGAAAAGCTCCCAGAAAGGATGTTTCCCGCGGAAACAAGCTTCATCGCTCACTCACTTTTAATCATGTTGACATCGTTGGCACCATCGCCAATAGCCAGGGTCACAGCTTTCTGGTACTTCTTCACCAGCTCCACCACCATGGCCTTCTGCTTGGGCGTCACTCGGCAGCAGATCACCGCCCTGCACTCACATGCCAAATCCACAAAGTTCTTCTGCTGCTGCTCCTTGTTAGCCTCAGCCCTTCTTCTCTTCTCCATCTGCTTGTATTTCTCTTCTGCTGTCTTGGGGAATTTCAATTTAAGTTTCTTTTTCTTCTTTTTCTTCTCTAGCAGGATTTCATTCTGTGGAACCCCAGACAGAAATACACTGCATTTCAAATGGCTCTCTAAGCACTGCCTTAGCACACATAGCCCCACACACACATTTCGGTTCATTCTGCCCCCTTTCTAGCATTTTCATAATGTGCTCGTGCAGAGGAATGACAAAGAGCAAAGGAGCAAGGAACAAAATGTATTGCTGAGATGAACAAAATCAAGTTGTCAAATCAACTGTATTGAGCATCACTACAGGTCTCACAGAGCTTGAGTTTCTTCTGAGAGCTGCTCTTCTGAGAGGAGATGAGTGAATTAGCTCATCCACTTTGGAAAAACATTCTGATATTTAAAACCTCACTGTCTCCTATGTCCCCTGTCCTGAGGGCAGCGTGACCGCACTAAGCACGTGCCAAGCACGTGCCAAGCACATGCCAAGCACATGCCAAGCACTGTGAGCGCTGCCACTCCTGGCCCCAATCCCCACACACGGGAGAGCCTCTTTCGC